GGCAAGGCTGATCACATAAAGAAGAACTGTATGAAACCTAAGAAGATAGAGAATGATAGTGCAAATGTGATATCTGAAGAATCACATGATGCACTATTATTGGTAGTTCATAGTTTTGTTAAAGACTTGAAATTGGATTCAGGGGCTTTGAATGTGGTAGGAAATCTACCAGAGGTCACAGTGCAGAGCAGTGATGGAAGTGAAGAAGAAGGTGGGTTCGGGGTACCCATTCCTATTGTTCGACATACAAATATTGAGGAACCACAGAGCTATAAAGAAATCTTGCAAGAAGAAAGTTCGAGCAAATGGGAGCTGGCAGAACTTCCACTAGAGAAGAAGGCATTACACAATAAGTGGGTGTACCAGGTGAAGACTGCGTTTGATGGGGCATGATATCAGTAAGAGGTACAAGGCTAGACTTGTTAAAAAAGGCTTTCAATAGAGGTATGATGTTGCCCATGCAGTGGGAGTTGTAAGAAGAGATAAGAGTGACCCAGTAAATAGCTTGGAGGTGCAAAGCTATGTGGAGCCTGCTGATATGTTGACTGAGGGTGTTACTCTTGAGAAACTGAAGTTGTGCACAGCTTCAATTGGTCTTCTGGAGTGAAGACAGAGGATTTGAGTTCTAGAGGTGGAGGATTCAAGGTGGATGATACATGTTGAAGAAAAAGGTGACACCGCTAGTGGAGGATATCAGTTTGAGGAAGGAGATGTTGCAGTCTGTGTACCGATCTCCAAGTGGGAGAATTGTTCGAAACGGTGGAGCAGTGAAGCCTGGTCCATTATGCTTGGGCGGTTACTTTGCTTTGGAGAGTCACACCTCTTCCTAAATAACCACTTTCGCCTTCCTCTTTGGTGAGGTGAAGCATCTCTTCGCTCCCTCCTATTCGTGATAAAAGCTTCGGATGGCTCTCCTTGGGTTTTGTAGTCACACTTTGAGTTCTTCTTTGGTTTCCTCGGGATAGAGAAAGGTTTCCTCGGGGCAGAGGAAGAGAAGTGCAAGGAGGAGCAGTTCCTTGCTGCAAAAGGAAGAAAAAAAATTGAGTTTATTTCTCTTGTAAGTTTATCTTCTTCGGTGTATCTCGGTGTAGAGTTTCTTTGGTGTATCTCGGTGTAGAGAGAGAAGAAGAGCGAGAGCAACGAAGAGTGAGAGATTCATCTTGTAAGTCGATGTAATCGACTGGTGTAAATTTCTCAAGTAATAAAATCCCCTGCAACTCCGTGGACGTAGGCAATTTGCCGAACCACGTAAATCTGTAAATCTATGTGTTCCGTTGTGTTTCTATTTTCTGGTGTGATTTTTCTCGTTCTATTTTCTGCTTCAAAGATCGTTCTCCTGTTTGATTTATATATATACCACATCAACTGGTATATCTATAGATTTCGCAACAACAACACAAGGGATCAACATGGGTCGTCAGATTAGATGATTATGGGATTTATTCGTCAAATGATCAAAATGTCTCTCTCCAGAGGTTAGCAACAGAAGGGGTGGGGCGGGCAATCGAATTCTAATATTGTTTTGGAGTGAAGTCCCGATGGTAAATTTGAGCCTCCGTAGCAGCTGATCACTGTTATTCGCCTTCTACTGGTCGCCATTGGCAAACTATGTCTGCTTATGAAGTGTCACGAATTATGGTGTAACAAAGAATATATCCTGAATAAGGTGTAATGAAATATCTTGAATATAGTGTAATTAAGTATTTTAAAAACAAATCAAATACTCAAACTTTAATTTTTTATATTTATACCATTTTCGCATACCTATGCTCGAAAATGTGTATTTTAGTTTTTAAAGTTAGTAATAGTAATATTTTTGTTGTGATATGAAATTTAAGTATTATAAAAGCAAAAAAATCAAAGTTTAGATATTAGATATGTAAATGATTAAGAATTGTATTGGTAAATATGTAAATGTTCAAATTTTTTTTTTTAAATAGTTAATATCTGGCCTATTTTTTTTTTTGAATTAATAATTTGCAGATATTTTTTTAAGAAAGAATAAGATCTTCAACACAAAAATATAAAGGAATAATTATATATTTATGCAATATAATGTCAAAATGCACAATAACTTCTATAAATAATGAAAAAATTATATATATTGAATCCCAAAATAACACTCTAATCCCGCTAAGATATATATCGTTGGTAGGATGAGAGAAATAAGGAGAAGAGAAAGAGTCACATGTATTGCTAATTCTATGGAAATAAATTAAGTAATTATCTATGTGAAAATGACTCCCGTGTTTATTGGTCATAGGGAGTGTACGGTAAATTAAATGATTGTCCCCCATTTAATGAAAATGTTATAATGAATTTATAAGACATTACACATTTAAATATTTATTATTGACTTTCACATATTTTGACCTTGTTAACCACTGTTTTCATATTCATAATTGTTCGATTTTGGCGTATGTCTTTCATTCGGCCGACCAATAGTCATTCAACCAACAGACTGATCTTCGATCAACTTTTTTGAGGGATTCCATCGTGAAAATTCGTTATACACTTGAAGGGTTATTCCATCAAAAAGATCAGGTATATACATATTTGAAATGCAACATTTCTTCGGTTAAGCGATCGACTTTGTTCTTTGGTTTTGATGACCTTTTATTCAGTCAGCTCATGATACAAATGTCTAAATTGATGCTAGATAGTTTGATCTCTTACTTTTTTCTTCGTACAATCCGCTAAATCTTCTCGAGATTCGTGCAATCACATTTTCGATGTACAATATAGCATTGAGTATATATGGTATATGATTAATCTCTCAAGTTTTTTTTTTTTCTTTTTATATCAGTGCCTGAACCTATGAATCAATTTAATTATTTTTATTTCTCAAAGGCAATTATTTCAAAAAAAAAAAAAAGATTTTCAGACTTTGAAAATAAGAATAATTTAGTTTATGATAAAAGATCAAGTTTTTTATTATTGCGAGTTATAAATTTGTTGAATTTATTTCAAAACGTGCCAGAATATTTAAAATAATATTTATTTCAAAATAAATTTAATAATTCGAATAACCAAACTTTAAAACCGACCAACATTATCTTTGAAATTTATTAAAAATAAAAAATTATTTAGTTTAATAAAATCCGGCAAGAGTCCGGTTTCTACCAACCCCACCAGACCACTTCCAGCTGGACCCTTTTCTTCCTGACAATTCCCATTGAGTTTGGCCTGTGCCGTGATTATCCGGTTCTCTATTTTGACTTTTCCATGGGAATATAATTTTCTTTTTTTCTTTTTTTTTTACAAATATATCTAACACCTAAATTTTATTTTTTAATATTTATAAAAGTTAAATCTTTTATATCACGATAAAATTATCACTATTAAATTTTAAAAAGCGAAATATTATTTTTTTCTTACATAAATAAAGTGGTGTGTGTGTGTGTATAATATATATATATGTTCCGTCAACCGTGGCTTGTTGGCAGTCCTCTCAGGTTACGAGTTCGATCCCTAGTGGCGCTAGGTTCTCGAATATTTAGGCGTGTGACGCGGGCTATCATTATGAGGCGTAGCACTTGAGACATCGGCATTTGAGTCTCTGCCAAATACCGATTTCCTTTATATATTATATACAAGTCATGTCTAGGGTGATCGATTGTCCACCTTGAAATTAAATTTGAGATTTCCCCGCAATAAGTAAAATTTAATTGTTTTTTCTTATATAATTTAGGTAATTTAATAATTTTAGCCTCCCTTCATATATCTTTTGTCAATACATTAAAAAAAAAAAATTTTGTGATCTTGCCCAACATAAAAAATAATGTTGGCTCCAACCTTGTATATATTAAAATATTAAAGGTGTGGGTTTATATAAATGTTTTAAGAAATGCTTAAGAATATTATAAGCGATATATAAATTTCAAATGTAACAGCAGTTTTGTCTGTTTAAATTGCGTTTTGTCAATTTTTTTTTTAAAAACTACAGTTAAAGTTTGCATTTTCTCACTTGTCATGACTAGGTGTGGGGGTCATTTTTTCAAAAAAAAATAATAATAATAATAGCCACCACAATTTTTTGTAGATCAGATTATTTTTCAGCAGCTTCACAACTGCTTTTTAATAAGCTGCAGCTGCCCCAAACATAATCTTAATATTTGATTTGAAATGAAATTGAATTGATCCAATGTAAATTTTTTGAGAAAATCATGATATTTTTGTGGATAATAGTCAATTGATTAATGTTTAAGAAAAATAATGTCCCGTCCTGCTCTGTTTGGCGCGGCTGCTGCTTCTCAGCTTTTCAGCTGCAGTTACGCTGTTCCAGGAAGCTGCTGTGGGGAAGCTGGTTGTCTGTTTATTGCAGTTGTATGAAAATAACTGTGGGACAACAGTTTCTAAAAAAATTGACCGTTCTGCCCATATTTATTAAATTTATTTATAGCATAACTATGACACATGTTTATTTAATAATTCTGAAACAAAAATTCAAAATAATGATGAATTTATTTAATAATTTTGAAGGAGACATTCAAGATAAATATATTTTCAGAATCAAAATAAGTGAGAATGAAATTAACATTCTCTTAAACTTATTTAATTCTCTAAACTGTACGATAACCGTCCGTCTTCATGCAACTGATGATTACTTCATTTTAAACAAGCCAATAAAATGTGCATTTACATACATAACACACAAGTCTTATACACTTAATGATTTAACACCTCAACTTTAATATTTAAATACAGAACACTAAAATCGTTAGCATCACATCAAGAAACAACTATTACAAACTGTAGAAGGCAGAATTCACTGCCTCGAACATATTCTCAACAATTTCAAGCCAGCAAATGCGATGTACATATTGTCAACAATTTCAAGCTATCAATTGCGATGTATATAGCAATATTGCAATTCCAGAGCCAATAATAATTTTCAGTTAACTTGAAAGATAGATTACAAGATAGCATTACAGTAATAATTCTCGCATTTCAATATACGACCAAACTCATTTCAAATTTAAAACTCTTAAGACATAATTTATACAGAATTATAGATACGCAGCTCATTTCACAGCGAGCATCAAGAGTGAAAAAAAAAGTCTAAAACTATTAAAATTACAATTAATAAGACAATTATATTATTTTTCACATTCAGACGATGTAGCTCCCGTGTTGGATTTTTCTCAAGTGATATTTTCCATTCCCGATCAACATCGTTAAGGCAATCCCACTCCTATGCTTCTCCTGCCCATGTAGACCTAGATCCATGAGTTTTCTACGAAAGAAGAAAAAAGGGTTTAGATTGAACTCCTTAGATTTAAGCCAATGTTAAATAGCATTTGATGCAGATATTATTATTTCCATATTTACAGCAAAAGAAGGTGAGTCATTGTTTCAGTTGGAGGTTTTTGAAACTACTAATTTTAGATCTATATACTTATTCTAAAGTTGATTCCAAATTCAAAAAATAAGCTAGCCTTTAAAATAGTTTTAAAATGATATGATGAGGGTCATGAGCTCAAAGAAAAAATTCATAGCCAAGTACAAGTCTCATATAAATTTGCAAATAACCTACAAATTGGGACATCCCAAAGAAAATTTGCCCACAAGAAAAAATGAGAGCGGTGTTGCATGCTCTGAGATATTATCTTTGATAAAAAAGCTGCAGGTTTGCCATGTGAAATATGTTGCTTATGTTGAGGTGGTATTGAACATTGCTAAGAAAATTAAGGAAAATAGTTAGATGAAGGGCAATGAATTTCCAAAGCCTTCATCCTCCAATAACTTTCATGATGGGTCAAGGACTGCAAGCAGTGAAAGACACATTACCCAATGACAAATAAGCAAGTGGAGCCTCAAAAAAGACAGAGGTCACCAAAATAAGTGACGACAATAAAAGTGACCGAACAGATAAGTAAATAATTAAGAAATAAGTATGAAAAAAAAGACAACAAAGAAAGCATTTGACCAATATTTCTACTAAGAATGAATCCTCTAGAAATAAACAAAAAAATTTATGACCCATGAAATTGATGATGAAGACGATCAGCTTCAGCTTATTTTCATCATGTTCATGATTTCTAACATAAGGTAGAACATATAATTGCTTCTAAGGAAATAAGTCATAAGTCCCATTATGCAACCAATATAAAGTCACAACAGTATTTTCCGCATAACCACATGATTACTCGAAGACCATCTAAGTTGGATTTGGATACACCTTCTAACAACAAAACAAAAGAGAAATACACCACCATGACGTTCAACAATATATATTGTACATATATACCACGAAAAATGCATTTGCATAGATTTAAGAAAATTTCAATTGAGTATCTCTTTATGCATATTAAATTTATGCAAAACTTCTCAACAGATTGTTAGACGCTGGAGACCGCTCCCTGATCGCGAATCTCGATCTCCCGCGCCCGCTTCTGCCTTCACGTACCCGATCGCGACGATTTGCGATCCTCATTCGCGATCCCGCTCCGCGCTCCCGCGGTCCCGTGGCGCGAGGCTTTGCGTCTCTTTGCCAGCAACCGTTCCCACCTTTCTCTGACGCGAAACGAAGCATCCCTTCCTTCCTTCCTATTCGTGATAAGAGGCTTCGGATGGCTCTCCTTCAGAAGTGAAGTCACGGTGTTCTTCTTCGGTTTTCCTTGGGATAGAGAAAGGTTTCCTCATGGCAGAGGAAGATAAGTGCAAGAGGTAGTTCCTTGCGGTGAAGGAAAAAGTAAGAAGAAAAAGAAGATTGTTCTCCCTTGACTTCTTCTTAGTGGTTTGTGACAGAAGAGAAATTATGTTTATTTCTCTTGTAAATTTGTATTTGTCTTCTTCGGTGTCTTCGGTGTATCTCGGTGTAGAGTTTCTTCGATGTATCTCGGTGTAGAGAGAGAAGAATGGAAAGAAAAGAAGAGATAAAACAACAAAGTGGAAGTGAGAGATTCCTCTTCTAAGTTGAGGTGATCGACTGGTGTAAATTTCTCAAGTAGTAAAATCCTCTACAACTCCGTGGACGTAGGCAATTTGCCGAATCACGTAAATCTGTGTGTTCTCTGGTGTTTTCTGGTGTGATTTTTCTCGTTCTATTTTTCACTTCGTCGATCGTTCTACTGTTTGATTTATATATATACCACGTCAAACTGCAGCACAATCATTATTCTCGGAAATGAAAATAAATAAGAAAAATGACAATAATTACCCAAGAATTCCTAATAATATCGACAGTTTATCATCCGTTCTATTGAAAGGAGCTATTTCTTCCACCGTCTACATTATCTGATATCACAAAACAAAAATAGTTTAAGAAAATGAAAAGGCTTTTCAAAATTTCTAGCTTTTATAGATCAAACGACAAAACTTTTTGCTGCAATTATACACCTAGGCTTATGCAGCAAATCGGAAACCTGCAGCAAGGTTTAAGAATTACCGGTTGGTCAGGCTTCCGGATAGAGGTGAAACGGAGGAGAACAGCAGCCATGGCAACAATAAAGGCGGATCCGATGAGTGAAAGAAATAGCCTTCGCGGCAGCTCCATTCCTCGGTGCATCTCCTCCTCCAAATGACTCGCGAGTAGAGATTGGTTATACGAATTATTGAGATTCTTCGCTTCTCTGCTGTCTTCCCCTTTCTGATTTTTTGCAGTGTGGAGCCATTGCATATTTGCATAAATGACCTGTAAGTCCACTCTTTCTTCTCTGCGAAAATTAAAAAAGAAAAAAGCTCAGAAGAGGAATGCTGAGAGAGAGGAGAAGATCTGGTTCGATTCACTCTTTCTTCTCTTGGTGGCTTCTCCCATCCAAGCGGCGGAAGACACGCGGAGTGAATATACTTCCGTGGTTTCTCTCTTTAAGAGGGCAGCAGCGGAAAAGCGAAAGAACATAAATTGTGAAGGTGGGGTGAATAAGATAGGCATGCAGGTAAAAGTAAGAAGGAAAACATACAGTAAAAAAAGGACCTGGACCGCTTCCCGCGGCCGGCGTTTCAATTCGTCACCACGTTTGGGGAGATTCACGAAATCTCACCAAACGGGCTCTAAATCACCAAATGAGCGTTGTGTTTACTTTCGGCATAAATGACTTTCAGATCCATTAAATAGGCGTCAGCTGTTGTCACATGCAGTTGTATTTCAGCTCCTAAACAAAAATAAATGACGGCCTTTTTATTTGAGCTGATATTGATGAAACTAACATGGATCAACATCCGGTTCATCAAAGTTTTCAAAGGAAAATAGTAAAATTCATGCTCGAGTAGTATCCGGCATTCACGCTTCGGCTGTGCTGCCTCCATGACAGCTTCAATCTTGTCAGCCTTAACCTATTGAAAATTAAGATGATATCCAGATTAACTTGTCAGCAAACTAAACCTCTGTCACACCTCAAAAAAATATAGAAGAACCTGCTTACATGAAAGATCATGATGTATAATTTGAACTATTCAAGAATTCTGTACAACTTGTGTTGACCGCTCTAGACGAATCTCGACAAATAAATTACATCAATTGTGAATATTTGAATTTCGTGGAAAAATAGTAATTAGAACCCACCGGAAGCCATAAAATCAACGCACATCATTAAATTCTAGATTAATTTTGAATTTCTTGCAATCTTTGGAAAGATAACAAAATTCTCTACAATTATGTGATGACCGTTCTAGACTTCTAGTCCAATCTCAAAAAAAAAAAAATCACAGCAATTACAATTGTTGACATAAATTTTGAAAAATTTTAATTGGAACCTACCCCGCAGTGATAAGAACTTCATACATTGCTTAATTTTCGTCTGATTTTGACGTTGTTGATATGGTTGGAAATGTTACATAAATCTCTTTAACTTTTGTGTTGACCGCTCAAGACGAATGTCGACGAAAAAATCACAGCAATTGCAAGTGTTCGAATTTCGTGAAAAATCAATATTGAAAACCCACATCAAAACTATAAAAACACTACATATTGCTCAATTCTTATCTGATTTTGACATTCTTAGTACAGTTGGGAATGTGACATAAATCTCTATAGCTTTGTGATGACCAGTTGAGGTGAATTTCGACTAAGAAATCACCACAATAGTTTGTGTTCGAATTTCATGGCAAAACAATATTGAAACCCACATCGCAATGAAAAAAATGGCTCACATCGCTCAATTTTCATTCACCTTCAATGTTCTTGTCAATGTTGGAAATGTGACAAATTTTTATTACTTTTGTTTTGACCGCTCCGAGATAACCTAAACAAAAAAATTGTAACAATGATTAGAAATTTGGTGAACTCACCTCGCAGCTATAAAATCACCTCACATCGCTAAAATCTATTCCAATTTAGACACCCTTGAGATCTTTGGAAAGCTGACAGAATTCTCCACAACTTTCCTGTTTTCGGCTCCAGTCGATTCTCAACAAAGAAATCGCAGCAACTGCGAGTGTTCTCATTTCAAGAAAATTTTTTGAATATGAAAAATAGAAGAACATGATGCTGCATATTTCAAAACAACAAGAATTTTTTGGAGGATTACTCCTACACTAAATTTAGCATATCAATCATCTAAAATTCTATGAAGTGAATAAAAACAAACTTTTTTCTATTATCATAAAAGTAGATGAATCAACACATAATAAATGCTCTTTCAATAAGTAACATTGGTACAAATTTACTTCCAGTCCAATGCCAATTCCTTGTGATATTATTGTCTGTTTACAGGAATCAGTAGAATCCATGATTGAGAACAGATTCAAAAAGATCAAGAACGATGGTAAAGAAACCAGATATCGAAGATAGAAGATTCAGAACAAGAAAACCATCGAAAGGAAAAAAAAAAAAAAAACTATTTTCCTGATTAACAGTAATAAAAATAGCTTCATCAATATATATCATATATGTAAATCATTCAAAACAATAATAATAATACATTTTCCAATGATCGATCCACTTACAGAATTCTACGTACAATAATTATAACTAATAATCTGCATCCAGCTTTTCCTTCAATCCAAAGAATAACATATGTTCTTGAACTGCTCAACATGCTCCGCCGCCAACGCCATGAACACCTCAACACCTCCCTTCTCCTTCATCGACGGCACAAATACCATCAGCCCTTCCACCGGCAAATTCGGCGGAAGGAAAGCGCACGGCGCCCCGGTCCCGAAATCCAGATCATGAAAATTGAACCTCAGCCAACTATCCACCTCAAGATTCGGACACAGCGAGTTCCCCATCGCCGGCGCCGTCGCCGCCAAATCCTCCCCCTTATTCATCTGATCCCCAAAGTCAATAAAGGACCGGAAATATGCGTCGTCGATTCGTTCCACCGCCTCGTGTATGATACTCACGGCGTTCGTGGCCGGCGTTAGCTCTTCCACGGTGGATTTTGGGTGAGCCCAGAGAACTAAGTTTCCGAAGAACTCCGTGGGGATCGATGGGGATTTGAGTCTGGCGCGGCCGTTCACTGCAACTCGGACTTTGGTTGCTTCGTTGGATTTGAGCCCCCTTGCCGCGGATATCTTGCGCCAGAGATGGGCAAGGAGGGCTTCGAATGTGCTGCAGCGAACGCCGGATTTGACCTTGGTGATGAAGTCGGATGAGAAGCGGACTTTCAGATTTTTAATTGTGCATGTTGCTTCGATCGAGGATCCAGTTCCTGAAAGAATTCATTTGGGGGTATTAATTTTCACTTGTTTTCCTAATAAAGAAACAGGAAAGATTTTGATTATACCGGAAGACTTGAACTCAATCGATCGGTGATCGAACTCGCATCTCGGCGGATTCCTGGGCTCAACCACGGCGTTGCGATCGAGAAACGGCGGCGGGTTCGGAGCTTCTCCAACCCGAACCATCTTCGCCCACGCGGCGAAGAAAACGCTCATCGACTGACCGTCGGCGACTCGATGATGCGACGTGGTGCCGATCACAAGTCCGCCGCAAGCGTAGCGGTTGAGCTGAATCTGAAGAAGCTCCTCAACTCCTTCCCCAATATGAGGATGAAGCGCAGAGAGATTGCTATTGGAATCGAGAGGGAGCGTCTCCGACAGAGTGGCGGAGATCTCTGTTTCCACGACGCGGACGCCGTAGTTGTTGAGGATTATGAATGGACGGCGATTGTGATCGGAGGATATGCGGCCGGCGAGGTGGGGGAAGTGAGAGAGGACGCGGGAGAGGCCGGATTTGAGGGATTCGTTGGAGGGTGTTGGGGGAAGAAAGGCGTAGAGAATGGGGACGTGGAAGTTGGGGGCGGCGAAGTCGAAGATGGTGAGAGGAATGATATTGGGGTGGTTAGGGGGAGAGGAAGTGGCTTTGAGTGTGGTGGTGCTGATGATTTCTGTCGCCATTGTTGGGAAGATGGGGGAGGTGGAGCTGGGAGGGGGAGGGGGAGGGGGGAGAATATATAGGGTGGTGGAGCAGGGAGTTGTTGGGAGAGAGACAATGGTTCTCGAAGAATCTTAAATAATGTTATTTATTTATAAAGGCTTTCAAAAAGTATATTTTACACGTGAAGTTCGTTGTTTTATACTTCGAGCTTGGGTTCTGTTCTTCTATATTTCGAGCTCAAAAATTGTATTTGTGTTCTGCTAGTTTATTTAGCGAGCCCAACACTAACTGCTCATGAATAAAAAATCATTTTGACAATCCTAATCACCTAACCATAAGATGTTAAAAATTGGAGTAAGATTTAAAAATTATTATTTATATTAAAAAATCATTTGAATCTAATTTAATAATTTTTATTATATTTTCTTCATTAATAATTTTAATTATATATATATATATATATCTATATATATATGGCTCTTTATTAACAAGCCAAAATGAGTCGAACACGAACGAACAAATCTTTGTTCGTGTTGGGCTCGTTCACTTAACGAACGAGCCGAACAAGAGCTTCTTAACGTGTCGAACACGAGCTGTTCGTGAACAAAGAGCTGTTCGCGAACAACGAGCTGTTTTGACAGCCCTATCTGTAAAGCTTGATTTGCTCATTTAATTATTGACAGGATGAAAGATAGAGACACAGTAATATGAAATGTTATGATAATTACTCATGAAATTTATGGATTGTATGTCGAAGCTCTCTCTCTGTGCACGTCCCGAAACGGGTCGAGAGGTTTAAACCAGAAGATATCACCCTCATCTGCATCCTCAGTGCTTGCAGTCGATCAGAAGAGAAATTACGGCCATAACAATGACCTTCATGTGTAAATATAATTTTCGGAAGTCTTTATAAATAAAATTATTTAGAGCCTCCATATGTAATTATTTTTTGCAATCATATAAAAATATGACTAATATCACATTTTATACATTAAATGTTATAAATATTAAAAGTCAAATTTTAGATGTTAAATAAGTGAATAAATAAAAATTGCGTGGTATGCGAGTAAATTTTTTTCAAGATATATATAATTAAATACATTTGAAAAAAATTTTGGTCTGCATATAATTTGAGATATTTCACATAAGAGATTAATGTAAAAGATATTTCTCACAGGAAATTTGATGGGGAATTTCTTGTAGAAATCCTGCCGATGAGATGAGTGACTTTTATAAATATTGACTTTATTTATTTTATGAATTTTAGAAATGGCTCTTCATTTAATAAATTGCATTATATGATCAAATTCTCAACATTTAAATGTTTTTATTATATATACAATACTATGTCAAAGGCATGTATAAAAATATATATTATTGTTAATTATATTTTTATGCGATCATTTGACTTCAAAAATTAAGATATTATATAAATAAATGTAGAAAGAAAATTGGTGATTTATAAATATACAAAAATTTAATAGCATGCGTCCGTTTGGGGCGACTGCAGCTGTTTGAAGAAGCAATTGTAAAGCTGTTAAAGAAGAAACAGTTGTTCAAAAAGTTGTAGTGACTATTATAATTTATTTTAAAAAAATTAGACCACAATTTTCTAGCAACCACCACCACAAGTAATGAGACATGTTAAAAGATGCAGCTTTCAGCTATAGTGTTTTGAGAACATAAATAAAATATAATTTTACTAAATAAAAAAAAAATTGTGATGCCCCCAACATACCAAGACCGCAATGGCCAAACACGCGAGCAACATGACTAAGCGTGTTTAGCCGCGGGTTGTTGAAATGGGATATCACGTCAACATAATAATTATATTCAGTGTTGTGTTGTTTTCTTTTTTTTTTTTTTTGGGGGTTGGGAATTGAATATTTTTTTTTTTTTTTTGTAGAATAAGATATTATTTTGTTTTTGATAATTAGAACGGCATTTATGTCTTATGGAAATGTTAAAGATAAAGTAAGTAGAAAGTTTATTTTTGAGAACTATTGGAAGGGAATTAACGATTTGATTATAAGAATATTAATTTAAAAGTTTCATTATCTACTAATTAATGATGCGACATGAATTAATTTTATGATTTCACATGAAAATCGAGCTAAATTTTCATTTAAAAATATTTTTATTCAAATTAAAGATCATTGAGAGGGCCAATTTTAATAAATTTATAGTCAAATTGTGTGTCATGATAAGATAAACTTGGTGAAATAAAAAATTGTTCCGCTTTGAGTCCAATTAAGCCCAAGGTCAAATCATTAATTGGAAGTTTTTAGAACATTGATTGAATGGTCTAAAGAACTATGGATTTAGCATGATTTCAGTCAAATTGAGCTTCATGACGAGAGGAATCCAACGGGCTTAAGCTACCTTAATTCTGGAATCATTAAGGCCCTCAAATTATTAAATAATCTCTTATGATCACAAGAGATCGATGTGGGCCGTTCGATCAGATGATTATGGGATTTAATCGTCAAATGATTAAAATGTCTCTCTCTATGGGCTATCAACAGAAGGGGTGGGGCGGGCAGTCGAATTCTAATATTGTTTTGGAGTGAAGTCCCGATGATAAAATCAGGCCTCCATAGCAACCGATCATCGTTGTTCGCCTCCTGATTTTTGTTAGTGGCGAACAATGTTTACTTATAAAGTATCTCAAATATGGTATAAGAAAATATATCCTAAATATAGTGTCATGAAATATCCTCAATACAGTGTAATGAAGTACTCCGAAAATAAATCTAATACACATTCTTCAATTTTTTATATTTATACCATTTTCACATACCTATGCTTGAAAATGTGTATTTCAATTTTTAAAGTTAGTAATAGTAATATTTTTGTTGCGATATGAAAGCTTTAAATATTATAAAAGCAAATAATTAAAGTTTAGCTCATAGATACGTAAATAAATAAAAATTGTATGGTATGTAAATGTTAATTGTTTTATTAAAATAGTTAAAATCTGGCATATTTTTTGTTAATTAATAACTTGTAGATATTTATTAAGAAAGAATAAGATCTTCAAAACAAAAATATAAAGGAATAATTATATATTTATGCATTATAATGTCAAAATGCACAATAACTTCAATAAATAATGAAAAAATTATATATGTTGAATCCCAAAATGTCCTTTGAATTAAGCTAAGATATAGAGCGTTGGTAGGATGAGAGGTATAATGAGAAGTAAGAGAAAGAGAAGAAATAGTCACAAGTAATGCTGAGTCTATGGAAAGAGATTCAATAGCCCTCTTTGTGAAAATGACACCCCTATTTATAGATCATAGGGAGTGTATAACAAATTACATGATTGTCTATCATTTAATGAGAACATTATAATGAATTTATGAGACATTACACATTTACTTATTTATAATAGACTCTGACATCTTTTGATCTCGGTAACCACCATTTCATATTCATAAATGCTCGAGTTAGTCGCATGACGTTCGGTAAACCAACAATTATTTAGCTGACAAACAGATCTTCGATCGACTTTTTTACGGAATCTATTATGATGTTTTTTTATCCTCAAGAAGGGTTATTCCATTAGATAGAGGGTATATCACCGTAACAACTTACATGATTGTTCATCATTTAATGAAAACGTTATAATGAATTTATGAGGCCTTTACATATTTATAATCGACTCTGACATCTTTAGACTTTGGTAACCACTATTTCATATTCAGAACTACTCGATTTAGTCGTATGATGTTCAATCAACCGACAATTATTTAGCTGACAAACAAATCTTAGATCGATTTTTTTAGGGAATACATTAAGAAGTTTCACTATCCTCATGAAGGGTTATTCCATCAGACAAATGTTACATCACCATAATCTGACAAGCAAATTTCTTTGTTGATAATTTTTTATAGAAGGTCAAGCGAGAGTTCCGTTAAGCTATCAACCGTGTTCTTTGGTTCAAATGACCTTTTATTCGATCAGCTGATGATTCGACTGTCTGAATTGTTGCTAGATAGCTTGATCCTCAGTTGCTTTTACGTGCAATTTGTTAAATCTTCTCGAGATTCATGCAGTCACATTTCCAATGTACAATTTAATATTGAGTATACATGATATATGATTAATCTCTCCAGATTTCCTCTTTATATATATATATATATATATATATATATTAGTGCCAGAAGGCTATGAATCAATTTAATTATTTTTATTTCTCGAAGGCAATTCTTTCATAAAAAAAAGATTTTTCAAACTTGAAAATAAGAATAATTTAGTTTATGATAAAAAAAAAAACAAGTTTTTTTATAAGTGCGACTTATAAATTTGTTGAATATATTTGAAAACGTGCCGCATTATTTAAAATAATATTTATTTCAAAATAAATTTAATAAATAACCAAACTTTAAATCCGACCAACTTTATCTTTGAAATTTATTAAAACTAAAAAAATTATTTAGTTTAATAAAATTCGGCAAGAGCCCGGTTTCTACCAACCCCACCAGACCACTTCCAGCTGGACCCTTTTCTTCCTCACAGTACTCATCGTGTTTGGCTTGTGCCGTGGTCATATGGTTCTCTATTTTGACTTCCCATTGGAATATCATTTTTTCATATTTTTTTTTACATATATATATCTTATACCTAAATTTAATTTTTTAATATTTAGCCAATCAAATCTTTTTTATCACAGTAAAAATTTCACTATTTAATTTTAAAAAGTGAAATACATTTTCTTCATACAAAAATAAAGTGGTATATATATATATATATATATATATATATATATTATATATATATATATATAAAAGTCCTGACTAGGGTGAGCAATTAATTGTCCATCCTGAAATTAAATTTGAGATAAATATGCAATAAGTAAAATTTTAAAAAAAAATTTATTGTATAGTTTAGGTACTCTTGATATATTTTTTTTGTCATTACATAAAAAAAAATTAATTTTGTGATATTGCTTATCATAAAAATAAAATTGGCTCGACGCTGTATTTAATAATATTTAGGTGTGTGTGTATAAATGTTTTAAGAAATGCTTAAGATAATGTAAGTGATATATAGCTTACAAATGTGAGTTAGGGTTGTTAGGGACGGTGGTGCTACACCACAGTTTTATGTCTGGGTAAATTGCGTTTAAACAATTTTTTTTTCAAATAAAATACAGCTGAAATTTGTGTATTCCTACCAGTTCTAGCTGGGTGCAGTGACAACTTTCTTACTGGAATTTGACTCAAAAAAAAAAAAAAATTGTAATAACCACCACAGCTTTTTGAACATCATATTATTTTTCAACAGCTTCGCATCTACTTTTTAAAAAGTTGCAGCTGCCTCAAACAGACCCTAAACCGAAATTGAATAAATCCAGAACATATTCATGATTAATATTGTTCAGACAATCATGATATTTTAGTTGAAAATAGCCAATTGATTAAGGTTTAAGAAATATAATGTCCCACCTAGAGCAAGTTGGTGTAAGAAATTGAGGACATGTTAGAATGTTTTTTTACCTAATTCTTCCACTAAGTACCACCAAGGATCGTAGTTATCCCTTCTTTGCAAAATGTCTTTCAAGTCGTGTGAGGATTGAAGACTGTAATAAACAATCAATTATATACCATACCACACTTTATAATCAATTCAATTAGAGAACACTCTTTTCATTACTAGCATCTATTGTTTTTGTGAGTGATATTCGGAGGGGATTTTGCATCAAATATAAGTTAGGGGGGAGGATCAGTAGCATGATGTGGAAGACCGCCACCAACTATAGTGTCAACAACCATTATTAAAGCACATGTAGTTATTGATTTCACCACCAACCTTAAGATTTATCAAGTCACCAAAAAAAATGAAAAAAAAAAAAATACAATTACTCGAAAAAAATTAGTCGACATTTTGTGTTGATGACGACTCTAAAGTTTAAAGAGCGAGCAACATATCTATTGTAAGGCACAAAAACTTTATGTTACTAGGATTTATCAAATTCGTAGATTTCGCCACTTGCGTACGGAGATGGTGACATAAATCGCTGATATCCACCTCACATTCGGATTCGATAAATCTGGATTTAAGGTGCAGAGGAGACGGAACAGGGAGTCGGAGAGTTGGATTTTGATTTCTCATTTTTTAGAATTTGGCTGGATTTAGGTTAAATCCTGTTAAAAATGTGCTACCAAACACCCCCTAAAGATCAAGATTGTCCTTCTAAAATCATTAGATTTACTTTCTTGTCATACATAAATAAACAAAGTAAAAAATCACTACTTACTAGTCTTTGCTTTTCTTATGAAATCTTAAAAAAAAAACTTTTTGCCTTCTCTGGCTCTTACTATTATAAATGAAATCAATAAATAATAAATATTTGTTAGTAAAACCCAAGTCTAAAAAAATTTTAAATTAAATTACTTTCACTAATACTTGTTCAACTATAGAGGAAGCATAAATGATTGGAGCAAAGTGGCATAGGCCCAGTCAACTCATTCATTGAATAATTTTCCATTGATTGAATTCCAAGGAGATTCTAAATTTAAGCAAACAAATAAGCCATGAAGGAAAATTACTGATTAGAAGATCAATCGCTTCAATTAATCTATGATGCACACATTAGTCCAAAGCTAAAAATATGCTCTATAAAATTTATTTAGCATAATCTAAAAGCCATTATGGAAGGACAAGATTAGGAAATGAAATACTACAACGTGTTCTTTTTGGCGTACCTTATGAAAATATGTTAGAGAGTTTTTTAAGATATGTATTCAATGCCATAGATTTGCTCATATGCAACTTTTAACTTGCTTGTAAAATGCAACCCCTCTAGTGTTTGTTCATCACTCGAGCGAGAAATATCTTCATTTGTGAATGGCTAGAAAATGTTCATGCTTGTGATGATCAATTACGTGACCAAGTGGATTAGGGCAAATCATTTGTTTATAGAGTGCAACTTCTAATTTGACACCATGTTTCACTACAAAGTTGTCATAATGAAATCATTCATTTTTTTTTTCCTTACACCACTTGAATACAAATAAATTGAATCTGCAAGAAAATACTTGTTTGAACTTCCTTAAAAACTAAGTTTAATGTGCCACAGGCCCAAGACATACCGGAAATATGTTACAAGTTGTTCTATGAACACTTAGAATTACTTCGTTTTCGATGATTAATCAGACTCTTATCCTTCTCATAGATCTATGGTGCTTTTGCTTATCAAGTACAAATTTTTTATCTCCATTGAACTAGTTAAACAGATATATCAAAAAATATTAAGATTTACAAATTAAATTTACTCATGCCTATCAATCCATTATCAGCTTCCTAAGGGGTGCCATTGGAGGTAAAGAGAGATGGAGAAAAGATAAAAAAATATGTGAAATTTATTGTTTTAAACTTTAATTTTTAACAACTTTAAACATAATAGTAAATTATTAATTGCTTGGAACCATACTGGTTAAACCAAATTACATTCAGATCAAATTCTGAGAAATGAAAATAGAATTTTATTCATACGTCATCACCCAACTTGCTAATTAACTCAATGAGTTCACCATCACGACTCTTCAGAGTAAATTCTACAGAATATAACTATTTCTCCTTTGCACTAAATTTATATACAAAGTTTTATGACATATTGCCAAATAAAAAGTAGATTGCTAGATAGACACTTGCCTGCACAATCAAACAAAGGTCGCTCATCAGTATCTATACTATTTAAGTATATCCCGCATCAACTTCAAAAGCATACTTGGCTTATGGTATTAAGCGAGGGGATAGAATACGACCACAAAGACTATAACCGTTACCTTGACTAACCATCAGGTCAATTCCCGAATGGTTTAAGGTAAATCGGTCCGTTTCAAAGTACGGATTGCTGCGATGTGTAAGCAGTCATCGTGAACTGGAAAGAAGCATCGAGTGATTACTGGTTGTTCTACCAACAGATCGAAGATCTTACTTTCTCAAGTCATACGTCTTTTGTTTAGCCAACAGTGTTCCGCTCTACTTATTATGACTTACTAGCACCCTTCACTTCAACTCAGACATACTATTTGACTTCCAGCTTATTCCCAAATCAAAGCTACTTGCTTATAATAGAAGAGCAAGGTGCGTAGCTGGCTTGTGAAAGGATGGAAAGGTATCCAGAAAGCAAAGTAACAGCTATACTTGCCCCATTAGCATGCATATAACGGAGTAACCGGCCCCCTTCAACATCTTTCATAACGTGTTCTACGCTGTTGAAAGCTAGATCCACATGAGGTGTGTGATGCATAGCTAAAAAAACGCCAGTCACTATCTGAATGGCTAAACAAAGACCAGCTAACGGACCGAACCCCCACCAATAACTCAGATTGCTTCCCCACCAATAACTCAGATTGCTGCGTTGTTGTGTTTCTTAGAGTGTGACGAGAGTGATTTGACCTTGCTATGAAAGTGAAAGGTAAGAGAAAGGCGGGTGGTGCCTTGGGGTCGACTTCTTCTTTCGTTGAGTGTCCGGGGGGACGGAGTGATATCGGTTTACTAAACAAGGGCAGGGAGGAAGTCTTGTTTTGATTCACATACGGTCGAGCAAGCCTTTCATTGACATTTAATTTGGACCTCAATATTGGAGGAAACATGTCCTCCATTGTTGATCAGTCATTGGGGCAATCACAAATATATTGAAGTCCAACTCTCACACTCAGCAATTTTTAGAAGTTATCCTAAACCTCACGGTAGAAAGGGGGTTTAAGTTTTTTTTGCACTGTATAATTTCCCAACAATCAATTACAAAAAAAATGCGAATGTCATATTTATCCACTGATCATACTGAAAAAATAAAAGCCGAACATTAAAATAATAAATAAAATCTAGCATGAAACAAACAACACATACTAACATATACAGGAAAAAACTGCATTTCAGATATAATAATGATAATAATAATAAAATAACATTAAAAATCTTCTTATTTCTTCTGAGCTAGCAAAGCATACCTGCTTTGTCTGGCAAATATCCAGGCATCTTGATTTCTGGGCTGTCTCCAAGAAAATAGCCATGAATGAAGCTGTTTCTTCTATGCAAATATTTCTATACAACAATGCTATGTTGAAAAAACAGAAAATTTGTGTATGTGTGGGAGAGATTCTTTTTAAATGGTTCGAATCTCTGAACTCTACAAACAGCTTTTTCACCTCCACGCGCGATAGCTCAAATCAACAGCTTCTCAACTTGTTGCAGATCAATAAATTAAGATTTCTAAGGATGCTCCACCAATATTGTAAAATGGCAATTCCTGAATTCTTGAGATGCACCCTTACGTCAAATCTAGGCTGAAATGGAAAAAGCTAAGTAAGACGAGCTTTTAATTTCTTCAGGAACTCGAGTGTCTCTGCGTATGATGGGTCGGTTCGATTGACAGGCTTGCATGAATTTATATGATCCGTTCCGTCCAACACCTGTGGAAGCATTGCGTAAACGACAAATTGCCAAATGTAATAATGGTCATATAATTAAAATTTGAAATAAAAAAGGAAGATTTACATACATACCACCCAAATCCTATGTATTTATATATCTAACACCTAAACTACAATATTTACATGCATACCAGGTTACCTATGCATAAAAAGGTGTATTTCACTTTTTAAAGTTGAAATGGTGGTATTTTTTATTGATATAAAAGATTTTTGTAGCATAAATGTAAAAGGCAAAGTTTATGTGTTAGATATGTAAATACATATGAATTGGGTGGTATGTATGTATGTAAATGACCCATAAAAAAGGAAAATATTTCTCATGCTAGCAGTCATAACAACGGTTTTTTCTTTATATGCTATTGATGGATATTGTAGAATACTTAATGCACATCTAGATGGAAAAGAGAGAGAAGGGGTATGGATACTGAAAGGTACGCAAATGAAGAGAGAAGATGACCTGAACCCACTAAAGGAGATGAAGAATGGGAGGAAAGCTCAAATTATAATACTCATTCCATAATCAACTATATCCTACTATAAGATTAGAACATTTCAAATAAACTCTTGATATTTGTTAATCATTTGAGATTTTTTAAAATTTAATTTATTTAATTTTAAATTTTATTTATTTATTTATTGTTTGAGATTGATGTCAAAATGCAAGTAAAATGTTGCTGATATTTGTAGTATGAAGAAGGCAAATGAAATTATTAAACATATTTAGCGCAGCGATATTGGGGTCCTCGGGTGTATGAAGATCATGTAAATTGATCATCATAATACTCGATCATCGATTGCCATATAAGCAGGTCAAATAAGTTGACTATAATATATAAATGCTGACCTTGATAATATATAAGACAGATCATGGAGATTGATCAATAGAATTATTACTGTGAGTCACAAAATAAATAAATTCTGCATTTACAATCAATCTCCTTCTATGAACTGGGTAATCGGCTTCAGTTAAATTTTAAGGTCTTCTAAATCTAAATTCATCATATTTGCATTAAGATATGTTTGTTCAAATCCCTTTAAAATTCAACCAACAACTTCCTCTTGTCTTAATCCACCACCAAATTTAAATGGAGCTTAGCTATGACAAAGAGTACGTAGAATATCGCAAATTATTGAGTCAATATTAGATAAAACACGACATTTTTGAGATTTGCACAAATAGAGAACAAATTAATCTGGCATAATTCATAAGGGATGTTTATCAAGATATTTTTCACAATATTGTCAATATTGCGATGGCCATCAAAGAAAAAATCAAGCATAACTTGCAACCAATGATGTATCTAAAGAAGTATATTATAGATGGAAAGGATTCAAGCTTCAAGTTTGAGCAATGAAAAAAATTTTGGACTAAAACCAAATATACACACATCAGAAGGATAAAAACAATTTATGAATGAGTTTAATCCTTGAAAATGCCAGATGAATATACTTCTAATTTAAGTATAAGTGTAGGTTTGAGATACAAAAACTTGTTTGATAATCTTATTTTTATGGTCACATTCTAACAAGTTTTATTACCTTACCAAAAGTAATTGGAATTTATTTACAAAACAAAGCTATTTTTTAAGGATCGTGCCAGTATTTCTGAGAGAAAACTCTTTATCGTAGAGTAAAATGAATATTTCAATTATATTATGACAATTAAAAATATATAGATCCTAAGAATTTGCGAAGAATCAAACTCTTTATCGTAGATTAAAAATATATGAATATTGCAAAGAATCCTGTGTATCATGGCAAGATCAAACACATTGAGATTGATATACATTTTAGTGAGGAGGTAGGTATCTTCTTCGCATCACCTTTTGCATCTTCTATCACTTGATAATTCTATCGTTGCCTTTTCTCTTCCTCTGTCAACACTATTAAATCTAATGGGTACATCCAATGTCAGATTGATCATATATTATTCATAAAACATGCACATGGAGGTAAGACAACTGTACTCATTATTTATGTAGATGATTGATCATGACGGGTGAAGATGAAAAAGAAATTGCGACGTTTAATGAGTTTTTTGTCACTGAATTTGAAATTAAGGATCTAAGGATGATGAGATGCTTTCTAGGCATGAAAGTGTCTAGGTCTAAGATGAGAATTTTGATATCATAAAAAAAATACATCCTAGACCAACTAGACGAAACAAGAATGCTAGGGTGCAAACCTGCTGAGCCTCTATGAATTTTAACAAAAAATTACATTCAGGGAGAGAAAACATACTAATGAAGAAAGGTATATTAGAGATTGGTCGGTAAACTTATATACATGTTACGCACTAGACCTAATATCGCATGCTCTGTCAACATTGTGAGTCAACATATGAATGGTCCAAATGAAGAACACCTAGAGATGATTAATAGAATATTGAAGTTTCTTAAGAAGGTCTCTGACATAGAGTTATTATTTAAGAAATAAAAAAAGGGGGATGTAAAGGTTTACACTGATGCTAGTTGGGCAGGCGTACTCACTGACAGAAGATCTACTTTTGGGTATTGTTCTTTTGTTTGGGAAAATCATGACATATGGAGGAGCAAGAAACAAGTAGTGGTCTCTAGAAGTAGTGTAGAATCTAAGTAACAGACACTTGCTTTAGGAATCTGTGAAGGAATGTGAATCCAATCCGTAAAGTTGTTATGTAACAACCAATCCACGGTTAGTATTGCAAAGAATCTCGTGTAGCATGACAAGGTCAAACACATTGAGATCAATATACATTTTAGTGAGGAGGTAGGTATTTTCTCCGCATCGTCTTCTGCATCTTCTACCACTTGGTAATTCTATCGTTGTCTTTTCTCTTCCTCTATCAACACTATTAAATCTAATGGGTACATCCAATGTCTGATTGATCATACATTATTCACAAAACATGCACATGGAGGTAAGACAACTATACTCATTATTTATGTAGATGATATGATCCTGACGGGTTAAGATGTACAAAAAATTGTGAAGATTAATGAGTTTTTTGTCACTGAATTTGAAATTACGGATCTAAGGATGATGAGATGTTTTCTGGGCATGAAAGTGTCTAGGTCTAAGATGAGAATTTTAATATCCTAACGAAAATACATCGTAGACCAACTAGACGAATGAAGAACCCCTAGAGATGACTTATAGAATATTGAAGTTTTGAAGAAGATCTCTGACATAGAGTTATTATTTAAGAAATCAAAAAAAGGGGAAGTAGAGGTTTACGCTGATGCAAGTTGGGCAGGACTATTTACTGACAGAAGATCTACTTTTAGGTATTGTTCTTATGTTTGAGAAAATCATGTCATATGGAGGAGCAAGAAACAAGCAGTGGTCTCTAGAAGTAGTGTAGAAACTTAGTGGTAGGCACTTGCTTTGGGAATCTTTGAAGGAATGTGAATCCAATCCATAAAGTTGTTATGTAATAACCAATCTACTGTTAGTATTGCAAAGAATCCCGTGTATCATGACAAGATCAAACACATTGAGATTGATATACATTTTAGTGAGGAGATAAATATTTTCTCCGCATCACCTCATGCATCTTCTACCGCTTGGTAATTCTGTCGTTGCATTTTCTCTTCCTCTGTCAACACTATTAAATCTAATGGGTGCATCCAATGTCTGACTGAGCATACATTGTTCACAAAACATGCACATTGGAGTTAAGACAACTATACTCATTATTTATGTAGATGATATGATCCTGACGGGTGAAAATGAAAAGATATTGTAAAGATTAATGAGCTTTTTGTCACTGAATTTGATATTAAGGATCTAAGAATGATGAGATGCTTTCTGGGCATGAAAGTTTCTAGGTCTAAGATTAGAATGGTGATATCCTAAAGAAAATACATCATAGACCTACTAAACGAAACAAGAATGCTAGGGTGCAAACCAGTTGAGGCCTCTATTAGCATTTTTGTTTCGTCTAGTAGGTCTAGGATGTATTTTCTTTAGGATATCACAATTCTCATCTTACACCTACACACTTTCATGCCAAGAAAGCATCTCATCATTATTAGATCCTTAATTTCAAATTCAGCGACAAAAAGCTCATTAATCTTCACAATTTCTTTTTCATCTTCACCCGTCAGAATCATATCATTTACATAAATAATGAGTATAGTTTTCTTACCTCCATGTGCATGTTTTATGAACAATGTATGACCAGGCAGACATTGGATGTACCCATTAGCTTTAATAGTGTTGACAAACTTATCAAACCAATCCTGTGGAGATTGCTTGAGGCCAATAAAAGTATTTTCTAGTTTACAAACCAGATATTTATATGAGTCATTTTTTAGTCCCAGTGGGTTCCAACAAACACTCTTTTTAAAAAATATATTCTTGATATCAAGTTAATATAGTTCCCACCTGGTGTTCGTTGTCAATAAAAGAGGAACTCATACGGTGTTTAACTTGGCCATTGGTGCAAATGACTCTTGATAGTCTATCCCATACGATTGAGTGAAACCTTTAGCGACCAACCTAGCCTTGAACCTCTCAATACTCTCATATGCTTTATACTTGATAATGAACACCCATTTGTACCCAATAAGTTTTTTATATCATGAAAATTTGTAAAGGTTTATGTGTCATTTAAATCAAGTGCTTGAATCTCCTCTTCAATTACATTTTTTCATATTGGACTTTGAAGTGTTTCGTGAATAAATTTGAGTATCTGCACACTATCAAGATTAATACAAAAACTTTTATAAGGTAATGATAACCTCTCATATGAAACATACTCCCAGTAGGATAATTTGTGTAACTTTTCATGTCTTCTCCATTGTATTCCACCTCCCTTGGAACTTCAAAGATGTGTGAATTCAGATTTGGTTGTAAAAATTTATGCGGTTGCATCTTGTCCTTATCCTGCTTAGTGAACTTATTTCTTGAGAAGATCATTGTTGTCGATTTAAAGTTGGATGTTATGAAGTGGTAGAACTTGAGAGACATAATAGCAGAGAGAAGTAGAATAGGTT